CATTTACATGTCTAAACCAAATCAAATAATAATAACAATAACAATAATTGAAACTATTCATAAGGAAAATATCCGTTTCACTCTCTTGTCTCTCTGTTTTTTTTTCTTTCTGTCCTCCATGCACGGTGTGGTCTCACTCCATGCCTTGCCCCTCCCTCTTGTGGTGGCTCAATTTCCCCTCACCCCCCTCTTTTCCTCCTCCAAACACACACACCGCGTTACGTTTCTCTTTGCAGACGTGCGTCTACACATGCACGTGACGCGTGAGCCCATTATTTCCTTTTCCCTTCACGTCAAGAGGGATGAAATGTCTTCTTCAGCCCTTTTTGCTCTTGGTTTCCGTCGCCTTCCCCACCACACAGACGCACACACACACACACACACTACTACTGCTAATAATAATACGAAAAAAAAAGAAGAAAAGAAAAAAAAAAAAAAAAAGGAAGGATCCAACAAGTCTGGTGGTAGCCGTGTGCGTGTGGGATAAAAAGTGAAAGAAACAAACTCTGCTGAAAGATATATATATATGTGTGTATATATAAATATATAAAGGTGGATAGATGTACGCATGTATGCTCACACATACAAAAATATATGCACCAACAACTCTTCCCAACTATCACCACAACACAATTAAAAAAAAAAAAAGGGGGGGGAAAAGGGGAAATGTTTGCTTCCTTTTTCATTTTTAATTTTAATTTTAGATTTGTTGCAGCATTCTTCGCTTCAGTTTGTTCATCCCCACACATCATGTGTGTGTGTGTGTGTGTGTGTGAGTGTGAGTGTGCCTGTCAGTCTGTGTATGCATATAAAAAAAAAAAAAAAACAACAACAACAAAAAAAAAAACAAAAAACATACGCAGATAAAAATAAATAAATAAATAAAAAAAAAAAAAGGTAAAAAAAAAAAAATATTTTTATTAAATTTTTTTTTTTTCTTCTTTTGACTTCTTTTCATCAACTCCTTGCAATTCATCCGGTGAGACAAAACGCACCGAACAAACAAATATAACAAAACAACTCCTCTTCTTTTTTTTTTTTTTTTTTTTTTTCTCGGCTCCTCCATCCTTTTCTTCCTCCCCCCCTCCCCCCTCCCCTTCACTTCACCTCCGACGTGCAGGCCCACGTGTCATGTAAAGTAAAAAACAACAACAACAACAATAATAATAATATAAAAACAATAACAATAAAAACAGGTGTTGAAGGTGAAGCAATGAGCATACAACAACAACAACAACAATAAATAAATAAATAAATAAAAATCTGTACAAATGGACGTCACGCCAACAGTTGTTTCGTAATAAACTCAATTCCGGTGTATTTATGTTTCTTTCCACCTTTTCGGAAAGGGGGTTCTGTTTTTGTTGATGTACGGCGCCTTCTCTCCAGAACAAAAAGGAACGGCGGAGACAAAAACAACAACAACACACACACACACACGTGCATGACGTGCATTTCTGTTATTTTGGTGGTGGTGGTGGTGGTGGTGGGGGCGTATTTTATTTTATTTTATTTTATTTTTTTGCATGTCTCTTTGAGTGTGTTTGAGTGACAGGGGGGAAAAAAAGGGAAAACAACAAAAGAAAAGAAAAGTGTTTCATAACGATGGGACCAAAAGTCCAAATTCTCGTTTTTTTTTTTCCTCTTTTTTTTTTCCTTTTCTTTTAATATAAAATTAAAAAAAAAAAAATATATTTTTTTTTCTCTTCCCCCGTCTTTTTTATTTATTTTTGGATCTCTCACTCTCTCTTTGACTGCTGCTTTGAAGCAAAATAAAACAAAAAAGAAAAAACAATCCGCCCGCCCAGTCCTGCAGACATCCCCTTCTCACCCTCCCAACAACAACAACAGCAGCAGCAGGGCTGTGTGTGTATGTTTGCGGCAGGGGAATAGAACAAATGGAGAGGGAAAAGTAAAAGGCTGCATACATAAATACATACATAAATAAATACATAACAAATACATAATAATAAACAAAACAACAATAAAAATGGGGGAAAATAAGAAGGCGTGGTGAGAAGGAAGAGGGGGAGGGAACAATATGATGGCGTATTGCACACGTACCACATGCATTCATGTGTCTTTCATTTGGGCAAACGGAAAAGGGAGAGAGAGAGAGAGAGAGAGAGAGTTTGTGTGTGTGTGTGTGAGCGAGGGAGAAAGACAACTCCCCCTTCCCCCTTTCCCCTCCCCCTCTCTCTTTTACCGACCTGCATAACAAAAAAAAAAAAAAAAAGAAGAAAAAAAGAAAAAAAAGGGTGCACTATTTCAATTGTTTACGCAACAACAGGTGTACCACGCCTGTGGGACGTATATAAATATGCATGCATGTATGCGTGTATGCGTGTTTGCATCAATGAAACAAACAAAACGAAAGAAACAAACAAACAAAATGCCACATGTTCCCCCGCCTCCTCCCCGCATTTTACCACCCTTCTCAGAGACAAAAAAAACCGAAAAAAAAAAAAAAAAACCAACAACAACAAAAAAGGGGTAATGTCAATCCAAAAACCAACAAAAAACCCTTCCACAATGAAGTCAGTCCATATATATATTTATATATGCATAGATATACGCATATAAATGGCGTAAAGCGTGTAGTTTAATTGTTGGGTAAAAAAAAAAGACAGATGGAAAAAAAAAAAAAACAAAAATAATGTTGCATCTGCATTCAATATCATCATGTACCCTTCCCTTCCCTCCCTCCCTCCCTCCCTCCCCGCAATATATATACCATACATATAAATATATTTATCTATATATGTATTTTATTAAAAAAAAACCAGCAGCTACGGCACTCGCCATGACTGCAAAAAAAAAGAAAAGGCAAAAGAGAGAGAGAGAGAGAGAGAGAGAGAGAGACATATAAATACATAAATAGACAAACGTACGAACAGACAAAAAGGAAAAACAAAAACACACTATGTATATATATATATATATACTTATAAAACAGAACTAACGCACGCGCGCGGACACGTAAACAAAACAACAACAAAACAAAAAAACAAAACAAATGAAACGAACGTAACATTGTCATCGTCGTGGGGGGTGTATGTATGTATTTATATGTGTGGGGTTGAGCGGGGGGGGGGGGGG